TTGTTTTGAGTTAATAACAAGTGAGATAGAGTTAAACTCTGAGCATATATCATTCAATAATAACCAATTAATAGAGAAATTAAGGTTTTGGATAAGAAAACGAATAAATATTTTGTTGGCCGGATAATCAATATTTCTGATGACGAAGATTCAGATAATGTTGATTATGAGATCTCCTTCTTCAAACACGAAGAGGATGGAAAATTTAAGTGGCCTACAGTAGAAAACAAATCGCATATTTCAACAAATGATATAATATTTAAGTTACCATAATCGCAGTTAGATAGAAGATAATGAATATATTTTAACTTTGACTTTAGTGAATATAATATGTAGACTTAGTGTGCTTTATGTTATTATTCTTCATATTTTTATTAGTTTAAGTATTCAATGTTAGGAAATCTAATAAATCATGAGAATTTACTCTTCTTTAAAAATGTATTTGAAATTTAATAACCATTTTTATTTATATGTCTAATACATGTCTAAATAAATAATGTTAACATACTTTGAAAAATATAATTCCCATTATATAATATCAACTACTACAACTTTAAATGTCATTTATTAGAACACTTGTTGCCTACTATTGCACTCCATGCACTTATTTTCTAAACACATAATAAAAAAAATTTAATTATAACTACTGACATCTGTTACTTTTAGAATAAAGTATTTTGTCTGAAGAATAACTTGGTAAAAAATTAAAAAGCCGATTGGAATTATTTAAATTTTTTAAATCTTTAAAGTGTCAATTACTCCCACATTTACCTTACATTTTATTTACAATACAAAATCAATACAAAAAAAAAATTTTAAAATGGGATAAAAAATTCAACAATAGCAATATACATATCACAAAGCAAGAGATCTTTTTAACTGAGTGAAAGTTATATTGATAATATCAAAATCGATGACATTTAATAGCCCCATGTATCCATCCAATGGGTTGTGAATACCATAGGTTGTTCTGTGGAAAGGAATATTGAAAAAATTGTGGTAACGTAAAGCTTAATGGGGAACATTAAAGTAAATCTGGCTTAACACTCATTTATGCAGCATCCTAGATCAACTAGTTGGTCATTTACCAATATGTTCATATTTGGAGTACTTCTTCTCTGTGTCCCAAAAAAGTTTTTCTCAAAAGGAAACAAGTATGAGTAAGAAAAATTGAAATACATAAGTTCAACTAAGTCTTTTTTCCATAGTATCACGGTGTATAATAATACCTATTACCGGACTTAAAAGTCGAGAACAAAAGTTAAATGTAGAGTGACAGAAGTAAGATAAAAAGAAATGCAGATGAAGTAGAAGTTGAATCTTTTCCAAAGAAAAAAAAACATCTAAAAATCCATAAAATTGAGAAGTGAGCATCAGTTAGATAGGTTACTAGCAATGGCTGAATGTACAAAAGGTATAAGTGAAGTAAATTGGGAACTGCAAGAATTAAGAACTTGGCAAAAAGAATTTAATGTTTGCGTTCTTGTATGTTTAAAATCATAGGTTGCATCAAATTGTTTAAAAGAAATTTCTTCAGCATGTAATATCACATGAAGTTTCATATTAAATACTGGGAAAGAAAACTGCTTACAAAAAATATCACATTTGATTTTTCTTCACTGTTGATCAGTTGTTGTGAGTAAACTCTTTAAAACAAATTTCACACTATTAAGATTTTTCTCCAGTGTGTACTTTAGAATGTATTTTCAACGAACCTGCCTGAGAAAACTGCTTAAAGCATATTTCACACTTAATAAGATTTTTCTCCAGTGTGCACTCTAAAATGTTTTTTCAAAGAATCTGCCTGAGAAAACTGCTTAAAACAAATTTCACACTTGTAAGGTTTTTTTTTCACCAGTATGTGTTCTCAAATGTTTTGTCAAAATACTTTTAGTACTAAACTGCTTAGAACAAATCTCACACTTGTAAGATTTTTCTCCAGTGTGCACTCTAAAATGTGTTTTCAAAGGACCTGCCTGAGAAAACTGCTTAAAACAAATTTCACACTTGTAAGGTTTTTCTCCAGTATGTGTTCTCAAATGATTTGTCAAAATACTTTTGATACTAAACTGCTTAGAACAAATCTCACAATTGTAAGATTTCTCTCCAGTGTGCAATATCAAATGTGTTTTCAAAGAATTGGCCATAGAAAACTGTTTAAAACAAATTTCACACTTGTAAGGTTTTTCTCCAGTATGTATTCTCATATGTTTTTTTAACTCACTTCTAGTAATAAACTGCTTAAAACAAATTTCACACTTGTAAGGTTTTTCACCAGTATGTGTTCTCAAATGATTTGTCAAATTACTTTTAGTAATAAACAGCTTGGAACAAATCTCACACCTGTAAGATTTTTCTCCAGTGTGCACTGTCAAATGTATTTTCAAAGAACCTGTCTCAGAAAACTGCTTAAAACAAATTTCACACTTGTAAGGTTTTTCTCCAGTATGTATTCTCATATGTCTTTTTAAATCACTTCTAGTAATAAACTGTTTTAAACAAATTTCACAGTTGTAAGGTTTTTGACCTGTGTGTATCATTAAATGTATTTTCAATACACCTGCTTTACTATATTGTTTAAAACAAATTTCACACTTGTACAGTTTTTGTTCAGTAGCAACTTTCATATTTTTATTAAATGTTTTTCCTCCAGAATGTTGACTCATATAATTTCCTTCATAAGATGAATCTTCAATTAGTGTCTCCATAATTTCCATTTTATGTCTGTCTTGGAGATAATCTAAAATACAAACCAACTATAATATAAATATTTGAGTATAAAGGAAAATAAATGTAATAATTAAATTAAGACATAATAAAATTTATGACAGCAGAAGTAGTAAATTATATAAATGTTTTAGAAACCTGTGTTTCTGTCTTCTATATCTGTAATAGTCAGCCCTATTATATTTTAATGTGTACCTCAACACATTCAATATTAGGTTTGTTCCAACCTGTCACAATACCGTTCTTGAATGGTTACGAGTATGAGCAGTAACACATTTTTCGTTACTGAGCATACTTGTAACTATTCAAAAACAGTATTTGTGACGGGTTGGAACAAACCTATTGTGTATGAAAACAGTTATCACAGGGAGGTACCACAATGACTATGAAACTTTTATGAGTCACCTTTTTTAACCAGAATTAGGAGAATGGCCTATTTCTACTACATTGATTATGATAACTACAGTTATCATAATTGATGATCTTTCTTTAAAGTATTTTGAATTATCCTTTACTTTTTGTTCAACATACTATAGGAATATAATGCAAAAATACAAACAAAACCTTTTAAAAATATACTCATTGTACATAAAATTAGGTATTAGTTAAAAATAAGAAAAAGTAGTAAGTAAAGTTATATTAATAGTTTTATATTGATTAGATTTTATATTTTATATTGTTAGATTGATAGTTTTTGTGTTAATACAAATTTTTGGTGTTCAAAAAATATGAATGCTTTGAAACATTCTCCAACTTTACTGACTTGTCAAATTAACTCAAATGTTCTTGTAAAGATGAGTCAAAGCAAGAATAGAAAACTTGTAAAATTGTAAATTGAACATCATTCATTATTTTAAAGAAATGTTAAAAGTGGGGCAATGCTGTAACAAAAGTTGTCTACGTTTGGCAAAAATACTGTAAGTAAATCCGATTTGTCTTTTTCTGTGGCTCATAATTTCTTTTGTTAACAAAATATCATGATATGATTAAGCACTTAATTTGTAGTTATCTCTTATATGCCCTCAAATTGTTTTAAGACCAAAATTATATTAGCAGGTAAAAAAGTTATTCCATATTACCATCCACTAATCTATCAAAGGGTAATTGCCAAAATAATTTATAATAATTAACTGCAATTAATCTCCAAAGAAACAAATATCAAATAAACAAATAACAAAGAAAAAAGTTGAAATCGAATCCTTTCCAATGTAAAAAGGACATCTAGAAAATCCATAAAATGAGAAGTGAGGATCAGTTAGATAGGTTACTAGCAATCTGAATATGCAAAAGGTATGAGTGAAGTAAATTGGGAACTGAAAGAATTAAGAAATTAGCAAATAGAATGTAAGGTTTGCGTTCTTGTATTTTGTTTAAAATCATAGGTTGTCAAATTGTTTAAAAGAAATTTCTCTAGCATGTAAACATGAAGTTTCAAATTAAATATTTGGGAAGAAAATTGCTCACAAAAAATGTTACATTTGTTTTTCTTCACTGTACAATTTCAATACATTGTTTTGAGTAAACTCCTTCAAACAAACTTCACAGATTTTAAGATCTTTCTCCATCATGCATTCTCAAATGTTTTTTCAAATTACTTGCTTGACTAAACTGCTTAAAACAAATTTCACACTTATAAGATTTTTCTCCAGTATGCACTCTCAAATGTGTTTTCAAATTACTTGATTGACTAAACTGCTTAAAACAAATTTCACACTTATAAGATTTTTCTCCAGTGTGCAGTCTCAAATGTATTTTCACATAACTTGCTTTACTAAATTGCTTAAAACAAATTTCACACTTGTAAGATTTTTCTCCAGTGTGCACTCTCAAATGTGTTTTTAAATTACTTGCTTGACTAAACTGCTTAAAACAAATTTCACACTTATAAGATTTTTCTCCAGTGTGCATTCTCAAATGTATTTTCACATGACTTGCTTGACTAAATTGCTTAAAACAAATCTCACACCTGTAAGATTTTTCTCCAGTGTGCACTGTTAAATGTGTTTTCAAAGAACCTACATCAGAAAACTGCTTAAAACAAATTCCACACTTGTAAGGTTTTTCTCCAGTATGTATTCTCATATGTTTTTTTAAATCACTTCTAGAAATAAACTGTTTTAAACAAATTTCGCAGTTGTAAGGTTTTTGACCAGTGTGTATCATCAAATGTTTTTTCAAGTCACCTGCTGTACTAGACTGTTTAAAACAAATTTCACACTTGTAAAGTTTTTGCCCAGTCGCAACTTTCATATTTTTATTAAATGTTTTTCCTCCAGAATGTTGATTCATATAATTTCCTTCGTAAGATGAATCTTCAATTAATGTCTCCATAATTTCCATTTTATGTCCGTCTTGTAGATAATCTAAAACACAAACAACTATAATATAAATATTTTAGTACAGGGGAAAATGAATGCAATAATTAAATTAAGACATAATAAATTTTATAACAGTAGAAGTAATAAATGATATAAATGTTTTAGAAACCTGTGTTTCTGTCTTCTATATGTGTAATAGTCAACCCTATTATATTTTAGTGTGAACGTCAACACATTCTTTATTGTGTATGAAGATAGTTGTACACACATAGGGTACCTCAATGACCATGAAACTTCTATGAGTCACCTTTTTTAGGTGTGATGAATTAGAAGAATGGCCAACTTCCGTATTTCTGGACTGTACCAGAATTCTTAAAATATGAAATAATGTACTCGTTAAACAATAGTCAAGAAGTATAAACCAATCTCTATAAAGTAGCATAAAAGGTAAAATATATTCAATATTGTGAGACAGTTCTTTTAAACTTTTTCACAAAACATAAGTAAATATAAAAATGTATATAAAAGATTACTAATTCTTAAACAATATGTTTACTATTTATAAACTGTTGAATAACTAGACATACTGAAGTAATACTTGAACGATCTTCTGTTTAAAAATATCTTCTCACATTTCTTATGACCTTTAAGAACATTGGATGTTCTAAGACTAAAAAAATTGTAAAACTGTAAGAATCTGTACAAAAATGTATATCAGATCAAGCTAGTGGAAAGGGAAGCATTAAAAAAAAAGAAAAAAAAGTTGACCTGAAGAAATTGCCTAAAAGAAAATGGATCATAAAAAGAAATGGATCTACTTAAGACTTTCGTTTTAATTTGTTAATATTTCTTAGTTTTATTTTCGCACATAGTTGACATATTATAACATTATAATGTATAACAGTTATCATAATTGATGATCTTTCTTTAAAGTATTTCGAATTATCCTTTACTTTTATTGTTCAACAGACCATAAATATGAAATGCTAAAATACAAACAAAATCTTTTAAAAATATACTTATTGTACATAAAATTAGGTATTAGTTTAGAACTGACATTGGTGGTAAACCTCGTCTTTATTAAAATCATTAAATGAAAAAATTCAAATTTAAAAATAAGGAAAAGTAGTAAGTAGTTTTATTGGTAGTCTTTCATTGATTAGTGAGATTGATAAGCTTTGTGTTAATACAAATTTTTGGTGTTTAAAAAATATTAATGCTTTGAAATGTTCTCCAAGTCTACTGCCTGATCACATTAACTCAAACTTTTTTGTAAAGATGAGTCAAATCGAGAATAGAAAACTTATAACATTATAAATTTAATATCATGCATTATTTTAAAGAAATGTTGAAAATGGGAAATGTTTGGCACAAATAATGTAAATCCGATTTGTCTATTTCTGTGGTTCATAATTTCTTTTGGTACCAAAATATGATATCATTAAGCACTTAATTTGTAATTGTCTCTTATATGCACTTAAATTGTATTTAAGGCCAAAATTATATTAGCAGATAAAAAAGTTTTTGCTATTTATCTTTAGAAATTAATATGGGAGGGACTTTTGTTACTAACCTTTTTCAGTTTTTTGATTTTCTTCAAATGCTTTAATTTTATTTCCATATTGTTCTATTTCAGTATTAATGGGACATTTCTCTATGTCTAAATAATCATATGTAATTTGCCTATTGGATTCCTCCTGAATTTGATATTCAAAGCCATTCAAACCAGCATCATCAAATTCATTATACTCTATTTCTACTTTACACGTTTCCTCACTAATTTCTTGTTTTACTTCCATTTGAGTTTATGAATCCCAATAATAATTTTACACCCAAAAAGGAAAATCAAAACTCGATAAGCAAACACGGTTAACATTAACAAAACAAACGAAAGTAGATATAAGCCATCTATAGCAGCAAATGTCAACCACGGAAATAAAATTTTTACTAGTGTCTAGAGCCTGACCCACTATTCTGTGCAGACTTGCGCAGTTTATTTGTATCCACATCTAAATGTGACAATGAGGATTATATGTATTGTTGGTTGCGAACATTTTTTTTATAATTTAATAATATAATTACTTCAATCCATCTATTTAACCCGTTTGATAAATTTAATAATATTTAAATTATAAGAATAACTCTAAAATTAATAGTAAATAATAGCAAATCAAAATTAAAGGTTTTTTAAAATATTTAAAAAAATACTTTTTTTTAAATAAAGCATTGGTTATATTATAAATTTTTTGGAATCTGCTCAAAATTCCCAGAATTTGATATATTATTGCATGTTATAGTTTTAATTAACTTATTTTAGGATACAGAGTGGTTAATGAATAGATCACATTACATTTTACAATGCACTTTAGTTTGCGATACTTCATTCGATTCGATATCAATATGATTAAAATTAGTACTATCGAAAGAACATCAATATCAATATAAATAAAACACAATTTTTAACAAAACCATTTTATTCTATTATTATATTTATTATTTAGTATTATTATATATCAAGCCTATTAAGAAAAACTCGTTTATATATATATGTTGGTCGGTTAAGCGACTTCTCTCATCTGACACAATATCCTTCATTGATGACACGTCTCTCTGAAACCACCGAACTTCCGACCAATGACATGTATTTTTTTGGCTATAAAAGCAAAGTCTGGCATACAGATTCTGTTCTGCTCCCAGAATGAAAACGTATCACTTACTCTCGGCAGCAAAGGCTGTTGCAGATATAGAGTCAGTTCATTTGGAAAAGAACTTTGAATCCGTGTGTCCTGAGAACTTAAACTGGAACCACTGTTCACCAACTCCAGATCATGTGAAGACCAAAGAGGGTTTGATTTTAAACTCACTTTGGCTTCTTCATTCTGGAAGGAGCAGGAAGGAGAAAGTTTTCCGATTTCGGTAAGGTACGTCCTAACTTCCGAGCCTAAATTGGATGTAACTGTCTCCGCTATAGACGGATTTAGATATAGTTTTTTGAACCTCGGGTCCGTGATTGTAGCATGGCAAAGCAGGGGGTTTCGTAAAAGCTTAGTGTCCCTCTCTTGAAGGCTAGTTATACGTTTTTGGCATAACTTTTGGGCTGTACTAAGGTTTGGCTTAAGGTTTTTTAAAGATCTTTCGATAATAGACACAAGGGGGATAATAAGACTAGCAGTAATGTACTGAGAACCCGAGATCTCCATTGTGGCCTCCTCGAAAGGCGATAAAATGGTTACAATTTCAGTGATTAGTTTCATATCTAAACCAGAAATCATCCTTGGTGCTTTTTTAATCGATTGATGTGCCAATATTGCAGCTATATATGGGGACATTAGTGTAAATATTTTAAGCATATGGTAGACAGAATTCCATCTGAAAATTCCCGTGATATTTCGGTAGGTCCCAATAAAATTTAACAACCTATTTGCGAATACGACCATGGGCGTACCAGCAACGTGATGAGCTTTGCTTATAGCAAACAACATAATTACAACAAATTCTCGAATGGAGTGGCCTATTGTACGATACAGCAGGTAGATTGTTTATCTATTAAAGATATCCATTTCCATTCAAATGATAATGACTTTGTAATGGGCTGTAGATCAACAATACCATAAAATAAGTGGTAACGACTGTACCCAATATATATCCAAAAATCAAGTAGGCTTTGAAGACATGTTAAATTCCTTAGCAAACAGACAATAAGTTCATAGTTACCATTGGATATGTCAATATTAAATTAATTTGATGTGTCGCATCGATTTAGAAGTCTGCACTAGTATCTTTTTGAGAAATATTACCCTAATAGAAATTATTTGAAATTATGATGGTGCTGTCAGAAAAATAGCGAATAGAAGTTTTGATGATCTTAAGTTACCGCAATCTCAGTTAGATAGAAAAGAACAAATATATATTAACTTTGACTTTAGCGAATATAATATGTAGAGTTAGTGTGCTTTGTTTTATTTTTCATATTTTTATCTTAGGTTAAGTATTCAATCTAATAAGTCATGATAATTTACTCTTCTTTAAAAATGTATTTGAAATTTAATAACCATTTTTATTTATATGTCTAAATAAATAACGTTAACATACTTTAAAAAACATAATTTCTATTATATGTAAGATATCAACTACTACAACTTTGCATGTAATTATTAGAGTACTTGTTGTCAACTATTGAACCCCATGCACTTATTTTCTAAACACATAATAAAAATAAATTCAATCACAACTAATGATATATGTTAGTTTTAGAAGAAAGTATTTTGTCTGAAGAATAACTTGGTAAACAATTAAGAAGCAGATTAGAATTTTCTTTAAATTATAAGTATTTCAAGTTGTGTAATTTATTAAAGTGTACATTACTCCCACATTTACCTTACATTTTATTTACAATATAAAATCAATATGAAAAAGTTTAGAAAATGGATAAAAAATTCAACAATACCAATATACATATCACAAAGCAAGAGATCTTTTTAACTGAGTTAAAGTTATATTGAAAATATCAAAATCGAGGACATTTAAATAGCCCCATATATCCATCCAATGGGTTGTGAATACCATAGGTTGTTCTGTGGAAAGGAATATAGAAAACATTGTGGTAATGTAAAGCTAGATCAATTAGTTGGTCATTTACTAATATTTTCATATTTGGAGTACTCCTTTTCCTTGTCCCAAAAAAAGTTTTTCTCAAAAGGAAACAAGTATGAGTAAGAAAAATTGAAATACATAAATTCAACTAAAACTTTTTCCTGTAGTGTCACAGTGTGTAATAATACCTAGTAGCGCACATAAAAGTAGAGCCCAAAAGTTAAATGTAGGGTGAAGGAAGTAAGATAAAAAGAAATGGATATGAAGTAGAAATCGAATCTTTTCCAAAGTAATAAGTCATCTAGAAAATTCATAAAATTGAGAAGTGAGGATCAGTTAGATGGGTTACAAGCAATGGCCGAATATGCAAAAGGTATGAGTGAAGTAAATTGAGAACTGCAAGAATTAAGAAATTAGTAAAAAGAATTTAAGGTTTGCGTTTCTTGTATGTT